TTTTTCCTTGATTAAAAACTGTGGCATTTTTTCTCATCCGTATAGTATCTGAAGGCTATTTTGAGGTGTTAGTAAAAGTTTCGTGCTACTTTGTTGATGATCCAAGGGTACTGTCTATAATTTACTGTTTATAATTATAAAGCCTATTCTGTTGGATGTTTTCAGTATTGTATTATAAATAATTTTAATTCATGAAATTATAATATGTTTGTAAACAAATCACTGAACAGATGGAGCTCAAACCCATGGCAAGCGAGTTCTAAAATTTGCAGGCCAGTGTGCTAGCCACTGGACCATACTGGCCTAATAACCTTAATCTGACTAGTTTTATTTCTGCACATTGGCTTCCCTAGTGACCACAAATGCAAATTTTTACAGATGAATCTGACACCAGCACGGCTGCGGCAAACTCTAGAGTCCCCTTGGAGCCATTGCCATGACTTGCAAAAAAAATCTTAACAGGATTGCAAACAAATTGCAGAATTTCAAATACCCATCCCTTCTATGATTTGTTTGCAATAGTGTTAAAATTTAGCGAGTCATGATGGCAGCTTTGAGGGGACTTAATCCACAGCCATGCTGGTATGAAATTAGTTTGTAAAGACCTGCATTTGTGGTCACAGTGGGGCCCGTATCTAGTCTCCCTATAGTGTACAGATATAAATAGTTAGACGAGTCTTGTTAGTCAAGTGTATAGCAAGCTTACCTGCAGGTTTGTTTTCTTGTATGGATTCACTTTTATTTTGCATAGGAGTTTGAAACATTTACAGTCGTATTTATAAATAGCCAATTTCATTTGATAAGTGGTTTGCATAAATTTAAAGTATTATCAAGGTAGTACTCTACCGAAACATGCTCCAGTGGTAACATTTTCCAACGAGTACACATTTCCTAACATGATTATGAGAAACTTCAAAATAAGGGAAGTCAAGCCATTGATAATCCTCTTTAAGCCATTTGTTTTCAACAGGCTATTAATAGTCCCTTTCAAGGCAGGTGAAATTGCAGTTTTGGAGAAAGCACAGAAAACCATCATTTCATGGTTAAGTCAAGCACCTTAGTTATTGAGAATACTTGAAGTCTGTTAAAATATACTCCTTGGAATGCAGGCAAGAAAGATACATCATAATTTATACCTGGAAAATCCTAGAGGGACTGGTCCCAAATCTGCATGCACAAATCTTTCCTTACAAAAGTAAATAACTTGACAGGCTGTACAATATACCCCCAGTGAAAATCATGGGGCAATGCTAGCACACTGAGAGAATACTCATCAGCATCCCATCATGTATAAGGGGAATTGCCAATAGATCCCTGGCTGTCTTCAAGAGTACATTAGATTGGTTCTTATTTCATGTGATAGTGATGGTTTAGTGGGTTCCTTAAATTTTCCCTTGTTTTATTAGCCATATAAACACTACTTTGCCGTACCTAGAAAGGTGTGGGAATCTGTGATGTTTGGGTAGTCACCTGATAGAATCATTGTGCTTTAGTGACTGGAAAACTGTCCTACAACAACAATAATTTCTCATTTCAACACTTTTTATCAATTGACAACATGTTTAACTGTTGTAGAAATGCAGCTAGAGTAGATGCAAAATTGTTGGAGGTACAGAAATGTGTAACTGCAGTGTAATTGGTGATGTACAATATTGGGTTACTAATCTTTTGGATTAATCTGAATAGAGAAGCCATAGTCTTTTATTGAACTTCAAAGATTCTGAATATTAATGCAATCAGTATTCTGTAAACAGTTTTTGCAGGCATTTTATAAATCTAACATAAACGAGGGGACTTTAGAATGGATAAGGGATGTGTAGATCGTGTTTACATTGAAACATCTGTGAACGGTATTTACATAAAGGTAAGGAAGTTTTCATTGCATATATGGATTTAGAAAAGGCATAAGATAGGGTGGATAGGGGAATAATATGGCAAATGTTGCAAGTGTATAGAATAGGTAGTAAGTTACTAAATGTTGCAAAAGAGTTTTTATGAAGATGGTGAGGCTCAGGTTAGGATGTGTAGGAGAGGGGGGGGGGGAATTACTTCTCATTAAAAGTAGGCCTTAGACAGGGATGTGTAATGTCACCATGGTTGTTTAACATATTTATAGTTGGGGTTGTAAACAAAGTAAATGCTAGGGTGTTGGGAAAAGGATGGGATTAATTTATGGGGAATCAAATACAAAATGGGAGTTGAGTTACTTTTTGCTGATACTGTGCTTTTGGGAGATTCTAAAGAAAAGTTACAAAGGTTAGTGGACAAGTTTGGGAGTGTGTGTAAAGGTAGAAAGTTGAAGGTGAACATAGATGAGAGTAAGGTGATGAGGGTATCAAATGATTTAGATAAAGAAAAATTGGATATCACATTAGAGGGAGGGAGTATGGAAGAAGTGAATGTGTTAAGATATTTGGGAGTTGATTGGTCAGAAGACTAGTTTGAGGGATGAGGTTAACCATAGAACTGATGAAGGAAAAAAGGTGAGTGGTGCTGTGAGGTATCTGTGGAGACAAAAAAGTTATCCATGGAGGCAAAAAGGGAATGCACAAGAGTATAGTGGTACCAACACTTTTATGGGTGTGAAGCATGGGTTGTAAATGCGGCAGCAAGGAGGAGACTGGAGGCAGTGGAGATGTCGTGTCTAAGGGCAATTTTTGGTGTAAATATTGTGCAGAGAATTTGTAGTGTGGAAATTAGGTGGTGTGGAGTAATTAAAAGTATTAGTCAGAAGGCTGGAAAGAGGTTGTTGAGGTGGTTTGGTCATTAGAGAATGGAACAAAGTACACACATGTAGTATGACTTGGAGAGCATATAAATCTGTAGTGGAAGGAAGGCAGGGTAAGGGTCATCCTAGGAAAGGTTGGAGGGAGGGAGGGGTGAAGGTTTTCTGGGCAAGGGGCTTGGACTTCCAGTAAGCACGCGTGAGTGTTAGATGGGAGTGAATGAAGACGAATGGTTTTAGGGACCTGATGAGCTGTTGGAGTGTGAGCAGGGTAATATTTTGTGAAGGGATTTGGGAAACTAGTTAGCCATACTTGAGTCCTGGAGGTGAGAAGTACGGTACAATGCCTGCACTGGAGGGGTTTGGGATGTTGGCTGTTTGGAGTGACTATTACAGTGTATATTTTTTATGAGGGGGGGCAGAACGGTGAGGTTGTAGAAATTTATAAAATATTGGTATGTTCACAATCTAAATAAACAACATAGATGAGGGAATAAATAGTGACATAAGCAAATTTACTGATGATGTCAAAATAGACCCTCCAATTCATTTTAATGAGGACATTAGAGCACTCCAGGATGATTTGAATAGACTGATGCAGTGGTCAGAAAAATGGCAAATGCAGTTTAATATAGATAAATGCAAAGTTCTCAATGTTGGACAGGAAAATAACCATGCCACATATAAACTAAATACATACGGATTGCGAAAAGGATTTAGGAATTCTGATTAGCAGTAATCTGAAACCAAGACAACAGTGCATAAATGTTCGCAATAAAGCTAACAGAATCCTTGGCTTCATAGTAAGAAGTATAAATAATAGAAGTCCTCAGGTTGTTCTTCAGCTCTATATGTCTTTGGTTAGGCCTCATTTAGATTATGCTGCGCAGTTTTGGTCGCCGTATTACAGGGTGGATATAAGTGCACTGGAAAACGTACAAAGGAGGATGACAAAGTTGATCCCATGTATCTGAAATCTTCCCTGTGAACATAACTTGAATTTGCACTCTAGAAAGGCATAGAATTAAGGGGGATGAGTGAGGTGTACAAATGGAAAACAGGAGTTAATAAAGGGGATGTAAATAGCATGCTAAAAATATCTAACATAGATAGGACTCACAGCAGTGGTTTTAAATTGGAAAAATTCGGATCCAGGAAGGATATAGGAAAGCACTGATTTGGTAATAGTTGTGGGTGAGTGTAACAAACTCCCGAGTACCGTCATAGAGGCTAAGATGTTGTGTAGTTTTAAAAATAGGTTGGATAAATACACAAGTGGATGTGGGTGGGTGTGAGCTGCACCTAACTAGCTTGTACTACTAGGTTGAATGCCGTGCTCCTCCCTTAAGTGACGTGTCTCGCCTCACTAGGTCAGTGAGGTCAGACGGTCAGTGAGCTTAAGCCAGTGGGGAGAATTGGACCTGCCTTGCATAGGCCTGTTGCAGTGCTCCTTCTTTATGTTCTTATTCATGACTTCAAATTTTAGATTTAAAAGGTTTGTTTCCTATGGTGGCAGCTCATGGTATTGTTAGTCTCTTGTTTTTTTCTGGGTCAAAGCTGTATGTTTACATCTTAACACTGCCTTAGCCAATCTTCTAGTTTGTTTTTTTAACATTACAACTTTTAAATGTGGATTTAAGACTGTGAAAACAATACCTAGGGATGGGCTGATACCGATACTCAGTTTTTGGGTAAATACTAATACAGTAGAACCTCCATATCCACTCATTCTATATCCATGGTTTCAGTTATCCACGGTTTACTGTGGCCCAAAAATATCTCTTAATTTTGCATCATAATGGCTGCAAAGTGCAAAAGTAGAAAAAGCTGGCAGTTCTTCAAAGCCTAAGAGAAGCCATGAAGTGCTTATGATTGAAAAGTGATAATTCTCCATTTATTGTGCAAAATTTATCAAACTTTATAATAGGAGTGTATAGGACTTACATGTAGGGTTCCAGCAGGTCCTTGGAGCATATTCCCTGTGGATACTGGGATCCTACTGTGCCATCAAAAATTAGTTACTATAAATACTTTGGCATATATACTAGACAAGTATATTTCCCTGAAAGTAGACCATTTTAACCATTTATGATTAATTGTTCAGGGTAGAACCATCCCTTATATACATAGTGGAAATATATGCAGTCTTCTGAAGCAGTTCAGTTATATATTTTGAGTAATTTTGTAACATTGCATTGAAAAGTATTTTACTAGGGCACTGGGATACTTGTATGCAATTAGTTCAAAATGTAATTAAATTTATTTTATTTTTCAGCACGATCGCCAGTGTTTGCTGCAATGTTTGCGCATGAAATGGAAGAAAGAAAACACAATCGGGTGGAGATTCAAGATGTTGATCATGAAGTTTTACGGGAAATGTTACGCTTTATCTACACTGGGAAAGCGACTAATTTAGAAAAAATGGCTGATGATCTCTTAGCTGCAGCAGACAAAGTGAGTTGAGCAGTGCTTAACATTAGTATTGAGGATTAGCAAGATATTAGAAATATCAAAGTAGAGGTATTAACTGCAGTAAAATATTGAAAGAAAATTTGCAAGGTTTTAGCAAGTGCAACATTATACAGCTAAAATACAGTATGTATGTATATTTTGGTGTTTTTTTGTATAAAGCACGAAGGTAATAAGAGCAAACACTGTCACAGTATAATAGAATTTGAAGCTCTGTCTAGGTGAGTACAAATAGGAAGCATGTCTGTCACATGTTCAGCAGACAGAGGATCAAGCCTCCACCACATGGGTTTAGTGCTTAACATGAATTACTATCTCTATAGCATTGTTATTGGAGACAAAATTTATGAAAGGTAATTGTTTAAATTTAGGTAGTAGGTTGGTAGACAGCAACCGCCCAGGGAGGTACTACCGTCCTGCCAAGTGAGTGTAAAACTGAAGCCTGTAATTGTTTTACACAATGGTAAGATTGCTGGTGTCTTTTTTTATCTGTCTCATACACATGCAAGATTTCAGGTATGTCTTGCTACTTCTACTTACACTTAGGTCACACTACACATACATGTACAAGCATATATATACACACCCCTTTGGGTTTTCTTCTATTTTCTTTCTAGTTCTTGTTCTTGTTTATTTCGTCTTACCTCCATGGGGAAGTGGAACAGAATTCTTCCTCCGTAAGCCATGCGTGTTGTAAGAGGCGACTAAAATGCCGGGAGCAAGGAGCTAGTAACCTCTTCTCCTGTATATATTACTAAATGTAAAAGGAGAAACTTTCGTTTTTCCTTTTGGGCCACCCCGCCTCGGTGGGATACGGCCGGTGTGTTGAAAGAAGAAGAAAGAATTGTTTAAATGACTGTTTCATTAGGTTGGTTGAAATTTTCCATCCTTTAATATCTCTGTATAGTTTTTGTTCTAAAACAGATTAACCGATCACCTTCTGTTAATGCTGAAGCCTTTTCTCTACCAAGAGAAATATTTTTTTTTATATTTTTTAGTTTAAATGTACATGTATCATTTGAGGATTACCATCCTAAAATGTTCAGTGTTTTATAGTATTTTAAAAAATTTCAGTATGCATTGGAACGGCTGAAGGTGATGTGTGAAGAAGCATTGTGTACAAACCTCAGTACTGAAAATGCTGCAGATGTCCTCATACTAGCTGACCTCCATTCTGCGGATCAGCTTAAAGCTCAAGCAATAGAGTTCATTAATACGTAAGTTTCTTTAATATTTAATAACAGTGCCAGATAATATGTATAATTGCTCATTTCTCCTTTTTTCTTGTCTATTTTTCAATCGGTACAGTTAAAAAACCTTTATCCGAAATGCTTGGGACCAGAAGTGTTTCAGATTTTGGAATATTTGTATATTTGTGAAACCAATCAGAAAAGATATCCCTGGTGAGCCATACCCTTTTGTTTGCATAACAGTGGACAAGGTATTCATACCTCTAAAACAGCAAGGATAGGCTTTTGCCTACCACAGCAAGTTTACACTTGATTATGCCTGCTGCATTAGCACATCCTAGCACGACTAATCTGTCTTTTGCATCATTAACTCCTGTAGGAGCTGTAGTAACTTTTTTTTTTTTTCTGGGGGCAATAATACCAGAAGCAGCAGCATTGTAGGTTTGTTCTACTGTTAGATTTTCATCAGCAGCAATTTTGGTAAACACATCAATGAATTTCTCTGTTGCTTTGTGGTCAGCAGATGATTTATCACTACTAATCTTTAAATATTTAATGCTTGTACCTTGTCTTAAATTTTTGTAACCAGCTGCTGAATATTCAGTTACCTTCAATATTCAGTTTGTGATAGATTTTTGCTCGTTCCACGATCAGCATTCTGTTGAGTGGCATGTGCTCATTCCGACGCTGACAAATCCACTTCATCAATACATGGTCAAGATATTTATTTTTCCCCTCTATGCATTGTCTTTCTATTTTCCCTTAACTTGGTTCATTGCTTTCAGCACAAAACTCAACAATGTTATTCTGTTTCTTTAGGTTGTAGATAGTGGTTGTTACAATGCCAAACTCCTCAGTCAGATACTTCACACTTACACTGCTGTCAAGTTTTTCCAACAATTTGATTGTGATATAGATAAACATAAATGGTTCCTCTTTCTTTTCACTATTACCCATAGGCTATTTAAACATTTTCAGCAGTATCTTAACACCCCAGAGCACAAAGCATACAGTAATTGCTGCTGCTCCACCACATCTTGCACTGAATGATCCATTTGTAAAGCGCTGTCAACTGTTTGGATTCTGGAATTTCGATAAAGGACTCGCTACTGTATTTGCATTAGTGTAAATCTTGGGTGGAGGGGTAGAGGTTGTCCAAGTAGTTTTTTTTATTGGTTTGACATACTGTTTGTGTTAGAGCAAGGTAACATTTATGAAGGGACTTTGGGGGAAACCAGTTAGCCAGACTCGAGTCTTGGAGGTGGGAGGTACAGCAACTATGCTGTGTGGGGGGGGGGGGGGGGGGGGGGGATGGGGGGGTCATCTGAACTGTAATGTTAGCACCTTCTGGCAAGACAGTAAGACAGTGATTGAACTGAGTGACAGCGAGTGTGTGGGAAATGGCTAGTTTTTTTCTCTTTAAAATATTACACCTTTCAGAATTAAATTTTTAAATAATTATAATGACTAACAAAGCAGATTCAAAGACTATTTAGTAAGCACAGTATTTAATATAGCATAGATGACAAATGGCTAACAGTACATTCAGCGAAGTCTAGCATTTTTGACTAACTCGGATGACTGCCTTTTATATTTCTAAATTTGTTTACACTTGATGCTTGAGTTGCATAAAATGTAGTTTCATTAGTTGATGAATTTTCCTTTTATTTTGACTCTTTGGTATATTTATAGTTATAGCTGTCTCATGGGGAAGCACTACCTGTAGGGGTAATACAGCATCTTGGGAATGGGAGGTAATCAGGGGTGATCCAGGGAAAGGAGGGAGAAGGTTATTGTAATTCTTTAAATCCATATCTCTCAACCCTTAAACGGTCCAAACATATATGTACGTTCTCTCGCGTAGTGCCCCCAAACGTATGTGTTTCCTTTTTCATTCAACATTGGCACGATAAGCCTGAGTCGCCTAGACATGAGAGAATGGGTGTGCGCACTCACTGTGCGCCATATGAAAAAAATTGGGGACGCCTGGGTACCATATGCTCTTTTTCCTATTAAAAAAATTTTTTTCTCAAAAAATTCGGGGTGCTACGCGAGAGAACGTATATATACATTTGGACCATTTAAGGGTTAATGAGCCTCCAGACACCTACTTTGACAGGAACATACTCCAAAGATGTAAGGACTGGTGTAAACTTTATCTCACTCAGTAATAAAGCAAATCATTGAAACGGAAAATTTAAGTAGGACTAGACCTATAAATCCTTGTATGGTATCTTGTCTTTGTAGATAAAAATCTGCTATATAGTTTGTAGGAAAATGAGGTGAAATGCGAGTTCAGAGATAGCAAAATAATGTGTTCTGGAGAAGAATTTTGGTGAAGTCAGGCTAAGAAAAATGTTAGTGCATTGGTCTCCTCAGAATGTTAGCTAGTAAATACTTTAAAAGGGAAAAATAATTTTTTTACCCCTCCCCTCCCCCCAGGTAGTGGCTAGTTCTGCCAATATACGTGACAGTAGGATTAAGAAACAAAACATTTAAATTAAAATTTGTTCTGTAATGTAAACTAAATGATTTGACAGAATACTGATGCCTTCTGATTTTACAGACATGCAACAGATGTTATGGAGACCCAGGATGGAAATCTATGATACAGTCACATCCACATCTAATTGCCGAAGCTTTTAGGGCATTGGCTACTCAGCAAATTCCACCTATCGGACCTCCACGTAAAAGGATAAAAGCCAGTCCCTGAGTCTGGATGGTTTTTCTTCCAGATTCCCATAAGTAGACTTGGCCATTACCCCCAACACCCCTGGCCACACATTCACACTTGATTTAAACATGATTGGCTATATTGTCCTGTGTAAAATGCACCAAGAGAAAAATAGCATTGTGGATCAGTGTTGTGAAACTACTTGCACTAATTTGTGAGTGGTGTTAAAAGCCAAGCTGTGTTCCAGGCCATGAGAAGACAAGTGTGTGATGGTGGGGCCTGGTAAGGGGGAACCAGGCCTCATCCCACCAGTCAACAGAGTACAATCAGGGGACGAGAAGTCCCTGCCCACTCAGGTTGGTAGGGCTGCAGTCCCTCCTCTACTGCGCCCAGTTGCTCCTGCCCCCCACTAAAAAGTCCACCAAATGATCTCATTGGGGCTTGTCCTGCACACAATTTCTTTTCAAAGCCACAGACTGAGTGTGCAGGCACCGGACTCGGAAGTGCATGTGTATCTTTGTGTAGATATCTGTGATTTAGCAAGTGATGGCCCAGAACATTGGACTCTTGCTGAGTCTTGGACCTTCCACTCATTACTTTGCTAATTGTTGTTGTTGTTACGTGTGGCACTCTCTCGTCTTTCAAGCTAGCAAGCCAGGCTAATATTTGAAAAAGGTAATACAGGCATTTCAGGGAGGAAAAAATAAAAGAAAAGCAATCAGGAGCCTTTGTTTTATTTTATTTTATTGGTGATGCCAAAGTAGCACCTTTTTGAGGGTTTGATTTCCTCCCTCTTGGTCATTGTCCTGTTGAATATTAAAAGTATTCATCTCCTGTTTAGGGGGATATTAAATTCTTTTTTTTTACGGGAGGAACTATATGGAAATCTTAACATTGTCTTATGAAAACTCGTCTGCAATGTAAACTTTTAAATTAAAATGAGTTTTGTAGTCAGATGCGCAGACAAAGTAACTTCTGATTTAGAAATTTGTTTTAAAAAAGACAAACCCGTAGTGTACAGTTATTTAAAGTGTGATGTCTATTCCACCGATTCAGCTCAGGCTGATTTTTTTACTTACATATTTAAAAAAACACTTAAGTTCAAGGGTATTCCAGTATTAACTGGGTTTGTTTAAAAAAAATTTACGGGGTGTTTCGAAAAATGATTGTGTAGATGGTAAAACTTGAAAACTGGGAACATTTGAATGAAAAGAAAAACCTTAATGGGTGGGTAAATGAAAATACTGTACTGTTTGAAAATTTAAGTTTGTAACAAGATTTTTTATCTTTAATGTTTTTTGTAACGTCAAGAATTTGTGAGCTGTGTTAAACTGTGAAGGCAGGCAGTGAAAAATTTTTGCCATGGTGTGCTTTTGAGAACAACCCACCCCGAAGTAGATATAAAAGTCTGTCATTTAGTCTGTCCTAATTTCTTAAAATACCTGTGTAATAAATGCTAGCTAGGCCACAAAATACCAGTTTAAAATCTCCAAAGAAGGTTTCACAAGCTGAATTGACAGCTTTGATCTACACTAAGAATCCCAGTTGATTCATCTGCTGCCGTGCCATGCTATCCACCCAGCATCAGTTTTACTCATGTTAGGATGTGTCTATTCATGTTAAATTTCTGCCAGGTATACCTCTTGTTACCATGAGTTCTAATCTGTTTGATTATTACTCATGGTTTGCTCATTCTGAGGCTCTCCTCTCAGACTAGTTGCTTTATGCTGAAATTGGTGGTCAACAGTGTACAGTGTTGCTGCAGCAGCCTGCAGTATAATTATTGGGCATCACTAGTGTTTAACAGAATTGTTGACCACCAGTTATCAGTTTATAGTCATCCACAATCATTCCTGTTGAAAGAAAATCAAACTCTTAAGCAAACTACAAGTTTGGTAACAATAGTCATGCAACAGTTCAAATATATATGTTAATTTATGTATTTTCTAGTACAAAGTGAATGTCTTCTCATCTTCAGTTTTCTTTTTTATTCACACTTCAGAAATTTTTTAGAAATATTTGGACACCATTGTTTTGTCTTAATTTTCATTGATGCTGAATTGGTAATTTTTAGTTTCATGGAAAGGGCTGAACCCATGAGGGTTATAAGAAATCCTTTAATTAGTTACTTGTCATTATACAGGTGTCCCAGAATTTTCTGTTATTACATGGAATCTGTAGTCATTTCTTGCCAGCAAATCAGATTATCAGTAGGTCACGTATTTGCCAATTATCACTACATTTGTGGGGAGTGTTAATTATTATTATTATTATAATCAAAAAGAAGTGCTAGGCCACAAGGACTATACAGCGGGGGAGTGTTAAGTTGTGCTTTTTATAGTGCTTAGTGGAAAGGGAATAAAAATCAAAGTGTTGTGACAATTGGTCACAACACTTTCCTATTGTGTAAAGTATTTTTTTTTTGGGGGGGGGGGGTCATTTCAGAAGAAAAAACTGGTTAAGAACTGACTTTGGCATTACCTTGGAATATTTTGAAATTAGACATTTTATTCATACCCCAAAATTGGGGAGGTTCTCATAAAATTTGTTATCAAAGTGGTGGAGGCATGGTGGCTGGTCTGGGCTGGCTCTTAGTGTGTCGGCGCCCGGGTATGACAAAAGTGTCTGCCGCCACACTGGTCCTGCTGGTCATGTGATGGTAGGCTCTGTGAGTCTCTACCTCTGTACTCTTACACTCAACAACTCTCAATGAACCAATAAAGTTGGTTAAATAAAATGTTATTTCTTCCCATGTAAATAGAAAATACTGAATTAACAGATCTGACAAAGCATTGTACTCTTCTGCAAATGTGTAAATCACTATGCTTTGTAATAGATTCAGTCCTAAAGGAACTATCACATGTATTTTTTTTTTTTTTTTAACACTGACAGTCTTCCACCAAGGTAGGAGGACCTGAAAAGGAAACATTCACCATCTTGTCAGGTGTGCCGATACTACAGCTAGGGTGCCCCTCCAAACTGCAATATCCCCACACCACCTTCAGTCCAGGTGTTAACCTGCTCACACCATCAGCAGTTAAAGATCCTTTGCCTCCATTACTGTGCTTTCTATCTACATGCTGGATGTCCAAGTCCCTTGCATACCAAAATTTCATTACCTCCAACCTTTCCTAAGGCAATCCCTACCCTGCCTTCCCTCCATTATAGATTTATACACCCAAGTCATCCTAATTCTTCTCCATCCTCTATGAATTTTCTGCATAATTACACCGCACATTGCTCTGACACATCTATACTGCCTCCACCTTCTCACAATATACACAACCCATGCTTCACACCCATAGAAGTGTGTTGGTACCACTACACACTCATACCTTTCCCCATTTTTGACTCCATGGATAATGTTGTCTCCACAGATGTCTTGGTGCACCTCCCACCTTATTCCCCTCAACTCTATGGTTCGCCTCATCTTTCATAGACCCATCCGCTGACAAGTCTACTCCCCAGCATCTGAATGCATTCACTTCCTCCAACCTTCCATTACCTAATTTTTTTACCTTCCTCATCATGCTCTTTCCTTTGTTCACTTTCAATTTCCTCCTTTTACATACCCTCCCAAATTCATCCACCAACCTTTGCAACTTCTCCAAAAAAGTGTCATCAACGAAAGGCAAACTGACAACTTTCACTCTGTATATTCTAATCCCATGCCTCTCCCCAACACCTTAGCATTCACTTTTAGAACCCCCAATCTTACTACTTTAAGTTGTATTTTAGGACTGGTTGATTGGGTCAATGGAAGTCTCTCTATTTCGCCTAGTATGCCTTTCGTTCTGTGGACCGAGCACAATAACCCACTCATTCAACTATTTCAGCTATCTTGTACATAGTGATGAGAATTGGTAATCTGGCCAATTTAAAAATAATTCATAATAAACAATGTAGACAATCTTGGCACCAAAAATCATTTACTCAATTCATTAGTCATGTCCCTAGGCCTCTCCTATACACACTTGCTATCCATTTTGAATTTTTTCACTCCTCAGATAATATATAACCAGGAAACGTTCATGGTTTACAGTACACCAATAATTGAATCAGACCTATTAAAAACCCATAAAACAGATGGGGGGGGGGGGGCCCTTGCCCATCCTCTGGAATATTAACTAAAATCGCACATTTCCACTAAATCGCTATTTCAAGCCATTTCCAGTCATGAAACTTATCAAGAAAGTCAAACCATAAAAACCATCCCAGAAAATGCACAATTGCTATTGTATAAACCTTGTAACAGGAAAGTTTCATACCTGAGACACTTTTTCAAAAATTCTAAGGCAAGATGGCAGTCTAGTATCTATTAAAAACATCCTCTGCAACTGGATTCAGAGTAAAGCCCAAGTTAATTCTGTTACATTCATTGTATTTCTGTACTTTGGAGCATTATAATTAGTGACTTGTGAACACAATCATTGAAAAAATTTCAAACAAATGTTTTTCTGCCCAATTCATACATTCATATTTTGTGTACACTTCATGCATGTGTGGAGAGTTACATTTGTTTGGTAGAAATTGGTAACTGCCAGGCAACTTATATTCTCATAACAGTGAATGGCTTGGGAAGTGCATAGCACAGGGTGTGGTGTGGGGGCATGGAACATTGTGGAGATGGTGAAGGGCTGTAAGCTTATGTAAAGTGTTGTCAGATATTATGGGAGAGTGAGGGAATATGAGAGGGGGGGGGAAAGACAGGCAAGGAAATGAAAAAAAAGGGAAATAGGAGGGAGGGGAGTAATAAGAAAAGAGGGAGGATTCTTCCGAGTACTTGACATTAAAAATTAATGTCATTGTTAAAAAATAAACTACAGTGGACCCTCATTTTTCGTAATTAGTCCGTTCCAGAGAGTGTGACTATTATCGATATTGGCAATTTACGAATCCATTTTCCCCATAAATAATGTAAATCCAATTAATTCATTCCAGACACCCAGAAGTATCAACAAAATTTTTTACCTTAGATTTACATGCACAAAAGAATGAACATTCAACATGACAGTTACCTTTATTGAAAGCTGTTGCTGATGAATG